AGGGCTTCTGGGGGCTTGTGACAGCCCCCCATGCAGTGCGGGGCAGTGGGGATCGCACCCCCTGCCTGGCAGCAGCTGGTGAATGGAGGCTTTTTTCCCCACAAAGAGCTGGGACGGGCAGGGGATGGGGCCTGTGTGATTCGGAGATTCGGCCAATTCAGCCGCAGCTGAATCAGATTCGGCCAAATCAAATTGGGACAGGGATTCAGATCGCCGAATTGAATCGCTGCCCCACAAATCAGATGAATTCAAAGCGAATACTAGCTGCTTCGCACAGGCCTAGAGGCTATTGCTCAATTTCAGCCTGCTTTTCAGGACTTTGAAGGAGTGCTTTAAGCTAGAAGTTGGCAGTCTATGGCTTGATCTGGGTGGTAGGGGAGTTGGGGGCACCTGGGAACTTTAGTGGCATGTGGTAAGTGGGCAAAGGGAGTGGCAGAGTTACAAGAGGTGGCCTGTTTTTGGGCCAAGCTGCATTACTTTGACCTGCTGTTTTTAAACGTTTGCCAACCCTTGCCCAAAGTGATTCCAACTTCAGTTCTTTCATGCTTCCAAAGCAGCCTTACCTATTTCTTCTTTGAGATCTATTTCAGCAGTTGTTGGGTGAACAATGCCTTCTACTTTCATAGAACCAATATCGCTGATGTCACTCTGTGTCAGAGAAAGCTGTAAGATATTGATGAATGAAGAAAGAAATAAAAATTAAAATCTGAATTGTAAGATCATTTTCAAGCCAAATTATTAAAACAGACCACTGACAGACCTAACTTTCAAGAATCATTCATTGCATTGTAATGAAGTTGCCTGCTTTCAGCATTTAAATTTCAGTTTTATGCATGCTTCCTCTTATACCAGTTGGATTATATTATGAAATTCCTGTAACCTGAATGGACACCACAGAGAAAACTACTGTTGCAAAAAGTCTATTCTAGCATCAGAGCTTGGCTACTGTTACTGTTAAGAAAAACATCCTTCTGCTCTAGAATGAGAAAATGCTGATTTTTTTTTTTTTAGAACCAATGGTGGTTTTTGGTTCAAGAGAAAAACAAAACGGACAAAAGATGTTTTCCTTTCCTTTTCAATTTATGCCCCAATCAGAAACTGTAGAAGCAAAGTATGAAGATAGGCTATCCTGATGTAAGCAGGTCTGTTTCTACTCAAGGAATTTCTTTTCTCTTTCATCTCGGAGCCTGTGTAGAAATGAGAGAGAATACTTCCTCATCCAGCCACCAATCAGGGGACTGTAAACAGCCAAAAAATCTGAAGACTTAATAAGCTCTAAAAGGCTGTTCTCCAAGCTTTGTACCCTTTAACCTCTCTTTTTTTCACTCCTACCAACAAGAGACAGAGGAGAAAAATATTAAGAACATTTAAAAAAATAATACAATTTTGTAAACCCCAGGAAATCATCATTTGTATATATTCAGTGGAGCTTGCTGCAAGCTTGCTCTTAACTTCTGGATAAAGCACAATGGAGTCTCCTGCTACTGCTGCAAAAAGGCCCTTTGCAGAAAGATTCATAGCTTTAATAATGCTGATTGTGCATATCAAAATAGTATGACCAACAGGAATTAATCTACCAAAAGTGAATTACCCAATTTGTGCTGGAGTATTTCTTCACATTAATTGAACGTGTGTATACATCCTCTGTGTAGAACAGGTGCAGAGGATTGGATGCACTAGGATGTAGAGGAATACAGATTCTGTTTCATGAGAGGAGATTAAAAGAGCTTCATGTGCTTAGCTTGATACATTTATGAGAGAGAGAGATTGTAGGATAGGGACATTTATGGAGCATGTAATAATTGGCTTTGGGCATTTGGGTACCAGCCCATCTATTTCGCTTGACTTTGTGTTAATAACTCTGTGCACCTCACAATTATTATTCTGAACTAGGTGTATTACTTAACCTGGGAGGAAGGTGTACAGCAGTCCTTCCCTACTTACAGAGTAGCCGAGAGGCTGCAGGAAGTAATTTCTAACAGAACTGGGAACAAGTACCAGCAGCCTCACCAAACAGACTCAAGACTCATCCCTTTAGTCATGTAACTGTTCTGACGCTACCTGCTATATAGATTAATTTTGGTATGTGGTCTGTAAAATGGGGATCCTCCTGGATGTGCTAAAGTAGGAGCTTAGCAGGTTCTGGGGAACCAAAAGGACTGGGACCAATAAGGCCCAGTTGCTGGCACATCAAACCAAAAGGGCACTGGAGTACTAAAGGGGAGGTGAGCAGGGAAGCTAGAGGTTTGGTGCATATGCAATAATCTTTCATACTCTATATATGCCTAAGGACTCGGGTCAATCACCTGAGATGCGATGTTCAGGTACACTAATGGTGCTGATCTCAAATGGTGTTAGTGTCAAAGAGGGTTGACAAAGCATAGCATAGCGCTAGCAAGTAAAGACCTTGTTACACATAGCACTTAGCACATGTTAATTACACTTAAAATCCTAGCATCTGATCCTTCAAGCAGTAAAACACGTGCTGAGTGGCATCATAGCATAGCAAAGTCAGGACTTTTCTGGCAAGGAGCATCTCCAGATCGTATTAGCTAATGTGTTGTCTCTTCCATGGAGGTAATATGATCAGGAGGCTGCAGTGTGGTTTGGGGGCTGGGAGCAACAGCCGTTTGTTGCTCTCAGCCCCTCGCACTGCACCAGAGCCTGAAAAACAGCTGTTTGTCACTCCCAGCACAGCACAGCACAGCACAGCACAGCACAGCACAGCCTTCAAGAGCTCTGGTGCTTAGGATGTACTTTATTTAGACCACAGTATTACCATGCAACTGCTCAGAAAACTTTCTAACTCATAGTAATGCTTAATACAATCTAAATAAAACACATCATAAGTATAACGTGCAACAAGACTCTACATCTTGTAAATGATTCTGAAATGTATCTAGATCAGACAATTACTACACAAGAAATTTGAAGTAGTTTCATATAAAGTACATTATTCCAGAAGAGTCTACCTTTAAAATGAAAAAAACACAGAACTATCTCCATAATTATATCTGTAAAACATTATATGCTATTTTTCAAATGAAATTACTGTCAGAGGGTAAAGAAGGGGAAAAATCAGTTTGAAACAAGAAATAAAAAGACGTATTAGAGAATGTTGTCAGAGGGCATGGAGAAACTGAAATCTTGTTAGAATGATTTTATAAACCTAGGTATTCAAACTGTTCTAGAAATTGTTCTACCTAGAATAAAAGCAACATGCCTGAGCCTTAGCTAAACGCAAAAAAACCCAAAGACAGCTACACCTCAAGACCTAAATCATTATTTTATTCTCAACAGGAAGAAACAATGTCCATTCTTAATTTTAAAAATCTTTAGTCTCCAGACAGAGTTTATGAGGCGTGATCCAAAAGCTACTGGAGTAAACTGAGTCAGAAGTCTAGAACAACTGAGATGGAACGTTACGAAGGTTCTGCGTTAGTGGTGGATGCGAAGTATCTTTCTGTTGATGCTAGACTCCACTAATGTGATCACACTTTATTATATTACATATTCTGATTATTTTATTACCTTTTGTCCTGGCATGAGGCTCTTGGACGACAGAATGGTGAATCCATCCCCAGGTCCATCCTCGGATGTTGAATTTGATGCCCCTTCTTTTTCATTCTCCTTCTGTTTGTTCTGGTTGGGGGGGGAAGCAACCATCAGAACAAATCAGGAAAAAGTTGGTAAGTGTCATATTTCAGAAGGTGAAAGCAACAAATCTGACCTTTATAGGATAACACAGAATAGCATAGCTTTTTGGTAGCTCTGTAGTCCTACAGTGTTTCATTGTTTACCTAATACAAAAGGATTACTGGTTAAGGTGAAACATTACAGAGGTTTGTAATACTTTTGCGACTCAGCAGTATGCATACATGCCTATGTAGTTCATTGAGCGTTTTTGTAGTGTTTGCTTACTTTGGCCACTACGAAAGCAGATGCTGTACTATGAGTACTCAAACTAAAAGATATAGCTAAATGTACTAATTTAAAGAAATCTCATAGGAACTTCCTAATAAAGCAAATCAACAGAATGCCGATTAGCAGATTTGTGAAGCGTTCCATATTTAAACAAATGCTGCACAGTGGCAGCAATTAGTCTTGGTGGAAAGAGGGATAAAGAAGTGTAAGAGGGATAAGAGGTGGGTTAATGTGAATACCATATTTTATCAGATTATCTCACTCATACCCCAAAATTAGCCTTTCAAAACTGGGGTGGCCTGTCAACCCACTCTTTTTTTAATGGGTTGATGTTCCACTAATCTATTCTTTGTAAATGTTGCTGTCTGTTAGCTACTCCTGGTCTCTCTTCTCCTATTTCACAGCCCTGAAGACCATGTTTAGCTCTTTTCAAAATCCATGGGTGTATACCCATGGAGTCCAATCTTCAGCAGCAGCTACAGTTTCAATTTGTGGCTGAGCAACCAAGATCTGCTAACAATTCAGCTGTGAAAGGGATAAAACTGTAGCTTTTGCCAGAGTAGGAATGGGAGGGTGAGTGAGCTGAGCAGTAGGCAATGTCCCTACTCTATGCAGCCGTAACTCTGAAAAAAAATCTCTTTTTCTTCATTCTGTTTTCCCCAAAATAAAGCACATTTCTTATTTGGGGATGTGTGTATGCAAGAAAATATGGTAATTCTTATTAAGTAGTTTTACTTCCTTCTTAAAAGTGGTCTCTATATATTTCCATATTTGTGGTTGTCTAAAAATGTAATGCAAGCCCCTAGTAAAATGGGTTAAACTATTCTACTATAGTAAAGATTGTGCAACTGTTCTCCTAAAATAAGTATTGGAGCTAAGTGCCAAGTCAAGAAAATACTGCTGCAGGTATGAATGGAACTCTAGGTAGAAAATTAGTTTCCCTGCCTAAGATGGACACCCCACTTGATTGCATATTATCTATTATAGAAGGAGCTCTAAAACATTCAGGAAAAGGTGTTTTCTTTACACTGTCACCAAACACTTTAAAATTCTAAGTGATGAACAGTTTAGTCCTATCCAAACAAAATTGTGCAGATGTCTTAACACTGAGGGTTTGCATCCTCACAAAATTCTGGAATGAAAAAAATGAGACACATTCTCAGTTCCTTCTAACAAAAAGGAAAATTTAGGGTGAAGATACAGGAAAATCTTGGGATGGTAGAATGACAACATGTTTTGGTTGTCAAGTGGATAATGGTATACTTTGCTGATTCATTGTGGGGCTTTTGAGACTAGGATAAAAAAAAAATCAAGGGCGGTGAATGACAGGGTGTGTTTTAAATATTAGAGCAGCTTTTCCATGTAGCCGTTGTGAAGGCCTACTGATTTTATGGGTTTTCATGAAAGCACTATGTGGGGAAATGTGAATGAACTTACGAATTGTCCTTTGAAGCTCTAAAGGTTGTCTGTCACCACTTTGGAAGTTCCTTATAGAAATTATTTAATGACTCATTTCTCATTTGATTTTTAACATTTAGGGAGAAACTCCTGGACTATGTAATTCTCACTGATTATCATCCTCTCCCTGCCACTTCTGGTGGTCATAAGCAAATACCAGTCAAAAAAAGACAAAAGAAATGAAGACACCTGTTTTTTTTTCTTTTTCCCTTTGCCATTCTATCAGTCTCCCTTACCTCCTAAAACACCACTCTGGGCTCCTGCTTACCTTTTTGGGGGTCCAGGCTTTGGTGGCCTTTGCTTTCTTCCCACCCTTCTTGCTCGCCAAAGGTTTCCTTCCTCTCTTCTCAGGAGATGGGGAAAGAATCGTCTCAGATTTGCTTTTAGCACCACGTTTTTTGGCAAGGAGCTCTGGTTGAATTCTGGGTAGGACACCTCCACTTGCAATGGTCACTCCCTTTAGCAACTGCAGGGCAGTATAAAAAAGTATGACTTATTTATTCTAATCAGCATCCTTTACCCAATATTCTAGCACTCTTGCCTCAAGCTGCTGTTAATTGTATATAGTGAAATGCAACCATTAAGTGGCATATTTTAAATGCTTGTTTTGTACAGTAACTCTCACACCAACAGAATACTTCACAATAATTATTTAAAAGCATAGTTAAACGAATGGGTTTAAATTAAAGTATGCTGGCTAGGTCATAGAGAACTACAGACATAAGAAGAGCATTTAAGGAGGTCTCCATCATGTAGGCCTTATATTAAAAATACTCAGCTATACTTCTAGTTAGCAATCCAGTAACAGAGGAAGGCTAAAAAGGATATTTACATTGTAACTGGAGTTGTTTTTTTGTTTAAATGAGTTGTCTCCACGTATCTTACACTCTTGGCATATCCTGTGCACTCAAAATAGGAGTTTCTGGCCAGTGGTGCCACTGGGGCCAAGCATGGATCCCAAGTGTCCTGTACTTGTGCATCAAGGGCAGCCTGGGTTCAACTCCACTTCAGTTCATTGCCACCCCAGACTTTAATCAGTGGCAGAACTTTGAAGCAGGGCTATTTGTGTAGGGTATATATAGGGACAACACATCTCAAAAAAAACTCCAGATGCTGTACAGTTAATTAACTTGTTAGTGTGTATATTACGCTCCTGGTGACCCATATAAGCAGTGATGCAGGTATGAGTCTACCTAAACATGTGTTGTACATAGATCTGCTAAAAGAAGTGTCCTTTACGGAAGCTTCCAGTAATTTAAAGGGTTTAGTGAAGGTGTGTATGGAACACCACCTGGCTGGTTTGCAGATAAAAACAGTGCTTCTCAAAAAACAGCAGAGGCTGTTTGCACCCTGGTGGAATGGGCTGTAATATTACCTGGAGGAACTAATGCAGGTAATTCATAACATACTTTACTATTTCCCTAAACCCTTTAGATAATCTTTGAGCAGAAATAAGTTAGCCTTCTATTGTTTCAGAATAAAACAAAACTAGGTGGGGGGGGGAGTTCTGAAGGGCCTAGTTCAGACAATCGGCAAAAGCCCTACAGGTACTGAGAGAAACCAGCTTAGATTCTCACCGATTAGAATGTGATTTGCAAAAGTTGACTGGTAAATAAACAGTTTAAGAGGAAATCTGATGATACTTATGGCAATAATTTACGTTGTGGTCTTATCAAAATGGAAAAACGTGTAAAAGGTTTTATAATGGATGTTCATAGCTCCCTGTCCTAATATCTGAAGTAACTGCTTCAAGAAAGGTTTTTCCAGGTAAGTGTAACAAATAAAATAAAGGTTTGAGTAGGAGATCCACAATACTCAGAAGTACTACATTAAGGCCCTGGCTTGGAATAGTTCTTGTGTGAATGGAAATATTTTTGTAAAGCCCTCCAAATGGCTAAACATGGTGGAGTGAGGGGAAAACATTACCATATTTTCTTGCATACAACATACCCTGCCCTAGAATATAAAACACACCTTGTTTTTGAAAGGCAGAACAAAGGAAAAAAGATTTTTCCTTGTAGTAGGTAACTGAGTAGCAGCAGTTAGAGACCCGAGCCTACTCACTGTTCTACTCCTGGTAGATCACTGCAGATTTTACTTTTGGCTTTACCCAGTAAGTAGCAGAACCTGCTCTTATAGTCTTTCTCACATATAATGCACACTCTAATTTCCAGCGGCTTGTTTTGGGGGGAAAAGGTGCATGTTTTATGTGAGAAAACATGATGTATACCTCCTTATTGGAGGATAGTAGACATTAATAGGCATTAGCTTTACCTTCAGAGAAAAAATTGAAAGTCAAGATGTCTCCAGAAAGAGTATGTAATCCCAATTAGTAGGCATTTATGTCAATTTATGTTGTTCACATCAAACTGGATATCTCTTTTGCTTAGACAGGCTTGTGTGGTTGAATCTTTTATATTTTATGTATCTGAACAGGAAAAGAAAATGATTCTACTATCCATTCAGGAGTCATGCCATGAGATGTAAGGAAGATGGGTTTGGGTAGAGAATGGTTCTGTCATTCTAGGATATCAAGCCTGGAATTATGAGTTAAACATTTTAGAGGACAGCTCACTGAATCCGTTCCAAGTGCCAAAACTACCTCAGCCAATTGCTGTATCCTGTCTGTTCTTTCTGAAAACCTTGGTGAGTAGTGGAATCAGTAGATAACTGCACTAATGCAAAGGTACACTGAACAAAGAATTGATGCCTTCTTTTCTAGATGGTTTCACTGATCTATGGTAACAAATGCTTTGTTCTGTCTTCTATCTAGAGTAGGAATAATATCTATTCTGTTTTCTTTTATTCCAAGAATTTAAATTCCAGGAGTGAAATGTGATGCACAAATTCTTTAGGGTATAATGAGCATCATCCATTTTCACTTTGAATAAAACGAAGCTTTCAAAATACAGGATCATCCATTGGTGATTGAACTTCACTTAAGGTTTCCAAATAGTGGAGATCAGAAAGTCAGTCTTATGACCCTAGATCTTAAATGTGCACAGCAGTATCTGTAGCTTCTAGACTCGCTTGTAAATAGGTTCTTCCCACTAACTGCCCTTCAGACATTAGGGGTCTCAAGTCTTCCCTATGTTTCTGTGGCAATTTATCATCAAAATGTAAAACTTTACTGCAATATAGGCAATTATAACATTCAAATCAAGTCTGGTAATTTGAAATTATGTACTGTAAATCATGCAGAGGAATAACATGCAAGACTGAATGCATGTATTTGTTTTAGCTTTTTCAGCTGGACTTTTCTTAGATTGACAGCATCTACTGTTGTTATTCAGTGCTGCAACCAGTAAACAGCCTGGTACTGAGTACAAAGATAGATATTTTGTTTCCACAGACAGCATTTTAAATTAGTATGACTAATGATAGTGTCCACCAAATATTTTTTGCAAAATCCATTAAAGCTTCATTTATAAGAGCCACTCTTTCTGGCGTACAGATTTTGACAAGTCTCCTACACCTCTGCAAGTGAAATCTGGAGCTATTCAGCAATGTTTTTAATTAAGCCATGTAACCTTTTATATTCTTCTGGATAAAATGGTGTTGACGGGACTACTGCCTCATAGGCAGTGATGCCTAATAGCCTATTCTGGAGCTGTTCCTCCTTAGAAACATACTTTGAAAACTGAGGATTGTCCCGGGGCATCTGAGGTGGCATCAGTCTCTTCTTCTTACTAAAGAAGAACTTTAGCTGTAAGAGGGTTGGGGAGTGACCATAAGAAGCCCAAGGATTCTAGTACAATCATGCAGGTAGAGTATATGGATAGGAAGTTTATCCAAAAAAAAAGGGGGACCAAGGCATATATTTAACCTCATATCCTATAAGGTGTCTTTGAGGCCCCCAAGGAGTCTGACAGAGCCCTCCCGGGAGTGTGGGTGGGAGGCTGCTGCTGCCACCTGGGACTGGCACTGGGAGCTGAGCCCAGTGGAGGGAGGTGGAGTGCAGCCCCGGCACTGCGCTCCACCTCCCCCCACACCGGGCTCAGTTCCATGGGGCTGCAAGCCGCTGGGCACTGAGCCCGGTGAAGGGACGTGGAGCGCAGCCCCGGTGCTGCGCTCCATCTCCCTCCACCAGGCTCAGCACCAAGCGGCTTGCTGCCCAGTGGAGGGAAGTGGTGCACAGCACCAGGGCTGCCTCCCTCCACCAGGCTGAGTTCCCAGTGGCTCACAACCCTGTGGAACTCAGCCCAGTGGTGGGGGAGGTGGCATGCAGCGCTGGCTCTGCCTGCCTCCCGCCACTGGGCTGGGCTCCATGGGGCTGGTCGAGCCAATCAGAGTGTAGCCCCGTGTTGGGAGGTGGGCAGAGCTGGTGCTGTGCTCCCATTGGCTCTGCCAGCCCCACAGAGCGCAGCCCAGTGGCAGGAGACGGGGAGCACCAGGGGTGTGCTCCCTGCCGGGCTGAGCCACATGGGGCTGTGAAGCCACTCGGAGCGCAGCCCTGGCTCTCCCCTGCCTCCCACCACCTGGCTGGTGCTTTGAAACTTGAAATGGTTTGAGGCTGTTTCGAAGCCCTTTGTTTCATTTTCATTTCACTGTTTTGTGCTTGGAACGAGTTGAAACAGTGTTGAAACGAAACAGCTAGCGAAATTTTGTACAGCCCTAATAAGCAGTCCATGCTAGGAGGAGGCCAGAAGCAAGGAAATGGCAGATGGGCAAACTACAGTAATGTCATGTTTAGCTCAGGTATAAGTAAAGGAGACACTAGCTCTTCTAAAAGTTGGAAGGCAGAACTTTGATTCACGGACACCAGTATAGTGATGTGTACCTAGGGTACCGCATACCAGGGCTGCCAGAGTAATTGTACTTAGTACTGACACAGTACTGAAACAATCAATACTGAGGAAAGGACTGCAACTGGTGTCAAAATACTTGGTGCACCACTGACCTCAGAGGCTATAGCCTTAGTATCAGCCTGGCAATCACTCTTATCTAGAAAACAGCAAGCAACTGTGCTACCTTTGAACTTCCTGGTTTCCTGATTTAGTCTGTGGAGTCTTTCTTCAGAAGGACTGAATAAGTAATTCAGACTTCTTAGCAGAACCTTTGTGAAGTCATCTGCTTCTGATCTCAGACCAGGTTTAACCGGAATGGTCCTACCAGTGTCCCTTGAAGCCTGAACCTTGGGAATTGGAGTCCTGGAGCTAATGTAACCTAAGGTAGAGGGGAACATTCCATCCAATGGAATCAGTCAGACCCAACTCGAAGGAGACTAATAAAAAAAAAAAAATTTAAGTCACTATTTTTTACTTTTTAATGTTTCTTTGAAAAGAATTTACTCATGTCACACTGGGAATATGGGGATGTCCCTAAACAAAAGCACTATGAAGTACGCCCACATTTAATGTGAATGTCCATTATGAGGTGGCAGATATTTAAATCCAAGACGCTTAGGTTGTGATATTCCAAAATCCTGGTACTAGGAAGGATCCCACTAAGAAAAATTTAAATGGAACAAAATCTTCTAAAACTGTGCAGTAAAGAACTATGTTTTACCAAAATGATGCAAATGGGCAATCACCAGATAAATATAAGGCTAATACTAATATATGCCTATCTAAAGTTTAAATCAAAAAGAGACAGTTTGAGTACATGGACACCATGAACTCCATTCCAAAGGCAATTCAGTGAGCAGGAACTGATTGTCCATTGGACCCACCTTGCCCTTTGTGCTCTAGGTATGGTAATTCAGGAAGCATGTGTGGTCCCAGTAAACATTGCTGGCCAAAAGACTGATCTCTAGCACATAGGGCGCATTTGCACCAAGAGTGGAATACACGTATACACAAACACTTGGGGATAACCTATAAGTTATAAGCAACTATGTGGGATGGTGGCATATCCATACCTATCTATGGGGCTACTGAAAGAGTGGTCCCTGAAGGACAGCCAGTAAAATCTTTCCCACAAAGTCAGCTATGAATTCACATAGCATCTGAAAACCCTTTTTAAAAAATGGGAACTTGAGCATCCATATCTCTTGACAGAACATGCAGCTTGGCCATTAAGACATAAAGAAAAGGGGTACCTAGTGCTCTTTTCCACTCCCTATGTGAATAAAAACCCAACACACAATGACACTTTTGTCTTTATGCTGGTAGATGGATTCTTGTTTCATTTGCTGTTGTGATAGCCATTCTGGTCTCATCCAAATTCAGACTGGAGTGTTTGAACTACACTGTGTGGAGAAGTCCATACACTAAAATATTGAAAGCATACCTGGTTCAACTCCTCATCATTAGCAACTGCCAGGAGGATGTGTCTGGGGGCAATTCTTCCCTTTTTGTTGTCTCTTGCTGCATTTCCTGCTAGTTCTAGTATTTCAGCTGCAAATGCATTAGAGTAAAAATCAGAAACAGAATAGCAAATCTACATTTAGATCTACTTTTAATCCACTTGAAGGCCCATTTATATTTCCAGAGTGGCATAAAGTGACCTTAGTACCAATGAAAATCAGGCTAAAATGACCATTTATTAAAAGATTATATTAAAATTTATATACAATCTTCCACTCTTCCAACATCTTCTCAAAATTAACGCTTTATACATTTTTACAAAATAATACCTTACCCTTCCTATTTCTTCCAAAGGATAAGCACTGTACAAAATAGCATGCCAAAAAATTGTTCATGTAATTCTGTATTGTTTTTACAAATCTCAAGTTGAAATGCCCTTTCAAAAATAAGCATACAAAATAAACATTAGCAATCCAAAATTGACCATGTAAACCCACAATACTAAAGCAGGATGAGCATGTAACAAAAATCCCTTGAATCTAGGAAAGAACATTTAGACACAGCAGGAAGGATTCTCAGAACTAAATAAATAAGAATATTGATGATAAACACTGGGTTCATCTACATGTGCAATTAATGGGTAGGTCTTTGTGCAAATATTAATGCAAAGCAATAAGCTATGTAGCTTATTGCTCTGGAGTTCATTGCTCCGAGCATGCCATTTGCACGTGCACCCAGGACCACAGCACATTGAGCCAGGTCATAGCAGCCTTGGTTGGAAGGGGATCCCAGGGGTCAGCCTGCCAGTCTGGGGGTGCTCTCTCCAGCTCAGCATCTTGTGGAATGGCTGACTGGGGTATGAGGGTGCTTCAGTGTCAGGCTAGCTGGTAGGCAACTCCCACACTAAAGCACTCTTGTACGCCAGCCAGCCAGGGCAGTGTCTACGTGTGTGCTGCTAGGGGGTAAATTAGTTTACTCCAGCCTAATAGGGGCGCATGTGCAGAGGCGCAACATTTACTGTGCAGCTAATTAGTCTACTGTGCAGTAAATGTCTTATGTAGACGTGCCCAATGCAAAGCAATAAACTTTGGAGCAGTTTGAACCAGAGTAAACTACTTCCGGGTGCAGCATCTACATGTACACCCAGGACAGCAGCAATCTGAGCTGAGGCAAAGCAGGCCCAGGCTGGCACAGGGTATGAGAGGTCAGCCCTGGGCTCTGGGTGGTGACACTGGGCAGCAGAGAGGCTGGCTGGGGCAAAAGGGTGCTAAAACTGTAGAGCCGTGCAGCTAGGCAGCAGGCAGTAGTATGGCCTCCAGCTGGCTGGGCACAATTTATGCCCACAGTCAGGATCTACACCTGCATTTAACTGCAGTAAGTTATTCCAGGATAAGATAGTCCTGTCACCGACAGTACTGAGGCTTTAATTAGTTTAGTGCAACCTAATAATGTCACAAATAATTAGTCTACTCCGTAGTTAAGTGCATGTGTAGACATGACCACTGAGGCTTATTTGTAGGGTTATGTTGAAGATCAGAGAAATAGAATAGGAAGGACTGGGCCTTGACACACCAGCGTGAAGCTCTGTTTGAGAACAGGACATAATACTATGGTTTAAATGCAGTAGGCAATTTTAAAGATTCTGAGTGCATTCACTGTTAGTTGTGAATTCCTTTTAGAGACTACTGGAACTGAATGTCAAGGCATGGGGCTCTTTATCTGGGTATTTTTTGTTCAAAGCAAGCATAAGAATGATACCAAAACATTTCCTCATTTTCAGTGTCCAATTTTTCCTTCCTTTTGTGCTTTTTACATGAAATAACAGCAAGTCAAAAACCTACAATTGTATCAGTTCTCCAGAGGCTGCATTCTATTCTTTCCTTATAAACAAAAGTAACTAACTTGAGAGAGAAGGCTGAGAGGTGACCTAGTGGCTGTTTACAAACTCACCACGGTAGGACCAGCGAGAATTGGGTGAGGCTCTGTTCCCCTAGGCACCACCTGGGGTTACTAGGAATAATGATCACAAATTGTTAGAGAGAAGGTTCAGGCTGGACATCAGGAGACATTATTTTACAGTTAGGGCTGCCAGGCTCTGGAATGGGCTCCCAAGTGAGGTGGTGCTCTCTCCTACCTTGGGGGTCTTCAAGAGGAGGCTGGACAGATATTTGGCTGGGGTGATATGACCCTGGCACCTGTTCCTGTCCGGGGCAGGGGGTCGGACCTGATGATCTCTTTAGGTCCCTTCTGACCCTAAGTACTATGATACTGTGATTGACAAATACAAAGACTTCCAAGGAAAACCCAGCTGAAATAGACAAAAAAGCTAGCTGACTAAAATCCAAGGCCATCAGCAAAGGGCCTCTCAGTTCATGGGTGAAATACAGGTTTTCAATTTTCATTAACTCAGTTAAAATTGCAAACCTGTCCTCCAATTTTTACTTCTATTAACTATATAAAATTAACTCTGAGCAGCAAAATATGGATGCTAAAGCTGAAAAGTTATTCTTTGGTGGTATTAGCAATACACTATATAAAATGTTTAGCAACTGTTTAAAATACAAACTAGTCGACGTGCAAAAATAAAAGATTGGAAGAACCTTATTAGGATTACAAAGTCAAGTATGAATGAGGCTGGGGGCCTGCGAAGAAATAGTATGAGATGAAATAATTAGAAAATGTATCTTAACACATGCAGGGGGATGTGGATTAAGATTGCACAAGCAGCTTTATTTCTGGTATTGCCCAACTTCGGGGCATTTGACTTTCCAACCTGTATAACGTTCTTTTAATGCAGATTTGTATGTGTAATTTCCTAAGGTTTTAAAAAAAGTTAATTGACACATTTTTTCTGTATTATGTCATATTAATGCCCACTGGCCATCAGCAGGGCGTGAACCATTAGATTCACCAAGCAGACTCTCTGCCACATTAGCTAATGGAGTAAGTAATAACAATAGGAGGTTGTCCACTACATTGATCAACAGTAAAAGAGACAGTCTTTGCAACTAGATGTCACAGATATGTGCTAACAGGAGAATGGTGAAAGTCCAGAAAGAGAAGCTACTTACCTATTCAGTAATGCATTCTTTCAATTGTGTTATTCATACATACATTCTGGTAATGTGTATGTGTACCCGACGCACTCAAATTCATAGGCTCTTGGCTAGCATTGTGCATATAGTGTACCCCTTAATGTCTTCATGCCTCATATTAAGGGCAAAAAAAGTGCAGGGTACTGTAACCACCATTCTGTTTCCTCCAAACTACAGAATCTTAGAGGGTAAAAGCCCCAAGCAGAGGGGATAGAAGATGGGTCAGGGATATATGCATATGGTACAGGTAGGTAAACTCACTGATTCATTCATACAATTATCCGCATATACATTACGTACAGATATACATATAGATCCATGTATACATTATTGCTTCCAAGCAGTGAACAAATAGAATAGAGGTGGGAGCTTAAGAGTTTTAAGAAAATAAAGATTGTAGAACTTCACAAAATGCAGCATCTGATCTAGAAGCTTCAGTAATTATCTAATTCCTTATGAACATAGGAATGTAATCCAACAAGACCGCTTTCTATGTTTCTCCCAGAATCATTTCTCAAGATGTTGCTGAAGCTACAGTGAACACTGAAAGTGATAGGGTGATTCAGTTTAGCTAACTTGTGTAACATGATTTCAAACAGAAGTCCACCTTGACAGGCTCTAACACGATATGGCTGTGCTTTCATCTTCTTGGAACAGTCTGAGTAAAGACTTAAACAGTTTTGTTCTTTGTAGATAAAATGCCAAAGAAGATCTGACATTTAAGGTTGAAGAGAAGCCTTCAACTTGGACACATGAGGGTTAGAAAATAAACACAGGTGTGCTGGATCAAATTAACCTCTAACTAAAGTCAGCAAGAACTAGGATGTGCCTTCAGGGATAGAAGATGGTAAAAGAAAGGCTGGCCATCCAGTGCTTGGAACTCCCCTGCCCTCCTTGCAGAGTTAAATGTAAATAATTTTTTAATTTTCACTAATAAGACATGAGCCAAAATAGACAGCCCACGAGAGCTCAGAGTTCCAAGCTGCGGTCCCGATATGGGATGGAGCAGTAGGAAGGGTGCGTGGTGACCAGGGCAGCAGCCCTGGGAACCACCTTTGTGGGGGGAGGAGATTAGGGTTGTACGAAATTTCGCTGGGTGTTTCATTTCGAAGCTGTTTGGATGCATTTTGAGCTTGAAACAGCGAAAGTGAAACAAAACAAAAGGCTTCAAAACAGCTTTGAAACAAAATAAGGGCACTTGGAATGTTTCAAAAGTTTCAAAACATTTTGAGTTTTGAAGCTGGGCTTACTTGGCTTCAGCACCGGCTCCAAGTAGCAACAGCAGCTTCCTGTTACCCAGCGCACAGATCCGGGGGCTCGCACCCCCGGGAGGGCTGTGGGGATGTGCCGGACTGTTCCCGGGGGTGTGAGCCCCTGGATCTGTGCGCTGGATGACAGGAGGCTGCCACTGCCACCTGGGACCAGTGGCAGCAGCAATCTTTCCCAGCACAGGGTGTGGGCCATGCCCAGTGCTGGTCCCAGGTGGCAGCCTCAGCCTCCTGTCATCTGGTGCAGAACAGGAGGCTGGCACCCCCAGGAGGAGTCTGGCATAGCCCAGCAGCCCTCCCCAGGGTGCAAGTCCCCGGATCCGCGCCCTGGTGAGAGGAAGCTTGGCCTACTTTTCTCACCTGGGACCAGTGCCCCCCGCTCGCCTCCCTGCCCAGCTGCAGCCCCTCTGCACATTCCCCTCCTGGCTGCAGCCCCCCACAGCTTAACAGCATCAGCAGCCAAGCTCTTGGCCCCCTGCACAGCAGGAGGCAGCACAGCTCAGTCCCAGCCACCAGGTATCCGCTGCCTCTGCCATAGCAATTTTCATCCAAATCAGGCAAGAAATGACAAAGTTTTAGGCATTTTTATTGCACCTGTCTGGCCTCTTGTAGGCACTCTCTTGCCACTTTGGAATGTGTACCCAGTGCCAGCTGCAGGGTATGTTCCTGTGGCCTTAACGTCAGGCCACATTCACCCTGAAGGAGGCCCCGATACTCACCTACCGTGACTTGATCTTTCTCTTCAGTGGTGGGGCTCCTTCTAGCTCCTTGCTGACCAGGTGCTACCCTTAGCGGGTGTTCTTGGGGCTCCACCTCCCCTATACCTCAGCCACGCACCAGTCCTCAGGCTGGCCAGATGATGTCTTCGCTTGTCTCCTTTTCCCCCTGCTTGTCTCCTGGCCTCCTCCTGATCTGTGGAGGTCATCCGTGACCCCTCTCCCTGCCTCAGGATAACTCAAAACAAAATTAAAACACAAAAGGAAAGGTTGGGATACAGGGCCTCAGCCCACCCCACTCATGGGTCTGGTGTCTGTAGGTCCAAGGTCCCTTGACGCAGTTCTCCCTGGCCTGGTTGCACTGCTGGGCCGCTGTGGTGCCTCCTTCAGTTGATCCCAGGACCCCCGTCGGGTTCTGGTCAGGATTCCCTCTGGGCTGCCGATGCAGCCTGTGTGTAGTTCGGAGAGCAGCTTTGCTGTCTGGCTCTGGTGGTGCTCCCCCGGCCATTTCCTGCCCACCAGCTTTTAAATTGGCTGGGTAGTGGTTTTTGATGATGTCATCCGCCTGCGCCATCCCCAGCTGGTAATAAAAATGGCTAACGAACTGTAAGGGCGGTTCATCTCAGTGTGGCTCCGCTTCTTCTAAAAAAGGTAAGTTTGCCCTGTCCTCAGGGCTTTTCTCTTTCTTCCCAAGGCTGGCTGGCCCTGCCTCGGGTCCTGCCATGGGAGGGGGCTTGCGTCCCCCTGGGACATTCATGATTCCCCATTATAGCCTATGGGCGAAATGTCAAAACTCACTGAAACAGCGAAACAGTTCCGACGAAATGGGACAGTGCTTCGAAACGAAACGACAAAATCAAACACTATCCCTTCAGAATGGCAAAATGGACATCAAAATGAAACGGTGTTTCACACAGCCCTACAGAAGACAGACAGGGCAGGAGGCGCAAAAGTAGCCACTACTGCAAGTAGCGTGGCAGGAGCTGGCACTGCCCCATGCATTGTGGCTGCCGTGGGCAAAGAACTGCCCTGTTACATCCCTAGGATGGGATCTCTAATATATAGAAACATCTTTGCAGAGCTTTTCAAAACCTCAGTTAGAGCTGGGTGATTACTGTGGATGGTGTGGAGAAAGAGCTGCCAGATGGACTTTGAATGCACTAAGTAACAAAATTGTTAGTTTCAAATATAGCAAATAGTATAAGTATTGGGAGTTGGGGATTTTTTACATCAACAGGAAAATCTTGTCCACCTTGCCAGGTAAGCCTGTCTCACAGAACTTCTCCTTCTGCTCATTAAAATATTCTGGACAGGTGCAGAACAATTCAAGCCAGCAGTCAAGCAATGGGATGAAAGGACTTCTTATTCAGGTGCAAGATTTTCTGTTTTGTTTTATGATAAAAAATCTGAAAGCAGAGGCAGGCATCTTTGGCTGGCAGACCTGCTGATTCATATTATCTGGGAAACAAAACTACCTAAGGCAGGCAGAGCAATCTGTCAGTTTAGCCAAGTCCTATCTGAACTTGTGTTGCATGCTTAGTGGGACCAGTGATTGATTAGGCACACCTGAAGACTCCTGCTAAGATGTTAGACAGGTAACCTTGGTTCCTGCCTCCTCTTGACTTTAAGTCCGACAATTCTTGTTGCACTGTGTTGCAAATAAGTCTACCTGAGAATGATCTCATTTGGAAAAAGTGGTCCACATGATCAAGTCTTTAGTCTCTCACTCATAAAAAAGAAATCATTCCAGCTCTGTTTGCTATACTAAGGAAATATGGTACTAGGTAAACCAGTTCTTTAATCTGATTACTTCTTGACATTGCAGGATGGTCTTGCCCTCCTTTGACTGTCAAGGCAGAACACAATGGCTTGTATGACTGTCATTACCTGGACAAACTGCCTTGTGATGGAGAAAGTACTTGCTAGCTTTGTATAACACCCAGGTTTCTAGAAGAGTGATATGTACTAATGCTTTGCCTGATTTCACTGTCATTGCACCTTCAGGCCAACCAATAAGTGTTCTCCATCTAATAGTTTTGGACAGGAGGACTCTTTTACAGACAGTTCAAGGTTTTCTCCTACATTCAGGAAGTATAAATTATCCTGCTCTTGGGCAGGAGTTGGACTAGATGACTTCTCATGGTCCCATCCAGTCCTATTTTATATGACTAAGATTGTATAACAGTATGAATAGAGGCACATGAAAGGACCTATCCAAATGAGGTTTGATAGGGACATGTACCAACTGTAGCCAGTATAGGTGCAACGATAAAGTTTTTTTTTGCCAATACTGATGGACGATTATTAATCAGCCATATCAGCTGATACTGATCTGATTGCCAGTATGCAGCCTGGCAGCTTGGAGAGCAGCGTCTGGTGGGAGAGGTAAGGGGCGTGGGGGGAGCAGATCGAGGCCCCCATGGTGAGTGAGGGAGTAGGGCTGGGCAGGGGCAAAGAGGGGTGCAGGCCGGAGCTGTGGGCAGCTTGTCTTGGGGGCGGCTCCTGCTCCTGTGTGCACCCCCAGGGGAGGCATGAGGGCATGTGGCCCCCAGATTTGTTCATGGGGTGAGGACAGGCTGCAGGCTGGGGCCAAGGGCTGTGGGAGCCTCTTCCCGGTTAGGGAGGCTGCGCTTGGGGTGGGTCAGAGAAGGGGGGATGGCAGTGGCGCTGGGAGGGGGGGCTACAGTCACCCCAAAATTCACCGTAGCCCCCACTCCCAGCATCGCCACCTGCCTCAAGCACAGCCCTGGCCCAGCTGCTCCCCACTTGGAAGAGACTGGCACTGCCCCCCCAGCCTCAGTGGGCAGCCCACCCTCACCCCATGCACAAATCTGGGGGGCGCATGCCCCCATGCCTCCCCCAGGGGTGCATGCAGTGGAAGGAGCTGCCCCCCACAATTCCCGCACCTCCTGGATGTGCCTCTCGTTGCTCTGTTCCACCCCCACTCCTCCTCAGCTGGACAGTGCTTATGCATGCCCCACCCCCCCATGCCCCTTCCCTCTCCCCACCTCTTCCCTACCCCACAGGCTTACCAGCCAGATGCTCCTTTCCAAGCTACCAGGCTGCATTCCTGGCCATGCCCATACTGCAGCTGCACATGTGCACACAGCATTTATCTGTGATATTATCAGCCACATCAGCAAAAAAAGGCCGACTGCCAATGTCAATTTTCCTTTTATTGGTGCCAATATGATATAGCCTGATATATCTGTGCACCTCTGGTAGCCAGTCCTACATGCTCCAAAGGTGTAGTCTGGCATTTGTGCCACAAAGATGCATGAAGCCATGTGTCCTAAGATAGCAAATCAATCCTTACTGTGGTAGCTGGATTTGACTGCAATTGCACTATCAGGGCACTTAAGTTCTTAAATCTGTCTTGAGATAGGTAAATTGTGGACCCGGTGAAGTTCAGGACCATTGCTGAGTCTCTGGGTAGGAACCAAGTTGGACTTTTTGCTTGCTGACTTTCTAACTTTTGCAGACTGTGTTTAACTCTAGCTAAAAATATTAAGTCAGGTGTGGAAACATTAACACAAGTGAACATTTACTCAGGTGGAAAATAACTTTCAGAGAGGCACTGGATGCACTGTCAAGATGCTCAAGAAGGCTTGATTTTGTTTTATGACTCTGAAAGAGCTGTTCAATTAATTCTACTGATTACAGGACTAAAGAAGCATCTTTTGATTATTTTTCCCAAGTCTGATATGTTTTTAATGCACAATATATGAAATAGTAAATGAATGCACATTCCAATACAGTTAGATTTGTTTCTGCTTTAATCTTATACTGAGTAATATAGCTCTAGGCCCCTGACATATTAGTAAAGCTTCTAGTTTCTTTTTACCTGAAGAAAAATATATGTTGCATTATATGTAATGGTGCACCTCACTATCTGCAACCTTTTTTTAAAATCCTAGATCTACCTCTGACAAATATACATGTTTTGACTTGTAATTTGAACCTGAATCCACTACTCAACAAGTGCTACCACATTTGCTGAGGTGCTCTTTTGTAAAGCAGACAAATTTCCTTTTGAGAGGATAAATTAAGGCTAATTCTTATAAACATAAGAGGGTTTGGATTTAAATATCACAGGACAAAAGTTAATTTCATAGCAGCAGCACGCATAATGTCCATTTTGTAGCAAAAGGTGAACTTTACATATCAACAAGGTTAAAATACATGCAATATAGTTAAGTGGGATTCCTTTGGCCATCCAAAAAACACAAAGAGAATGTGGTATATAATTTAACTTGAAAATACTATGTAAATGAGAGGTACATTCTTTTTTTTTCTCTTCTGCTCTGCATATCCAACTATTTCCCCTTGAATTAAAAAGGACTGGATGCCACTACCTTTTTAGCTCATCGGCATTTCTAGATCAAGCAGAGATCACTGCAAAGCAATAAAAAACAATCCTTCCATTTAGGGATTGAGTATGGTACATCTGCAATATTATCATCTCCTGTTGCTCCATGAAGAGAGTAAATCCACTTCAGCCCATGAAGTGCATGTCAGTATACTTTTTACACTTACAGAGCCTAATTTTCAGAGCTGCAGAGCACCTGATTGTCTCATGGACTTCAATTAGTGCTGTACATGATCAGTATTTTAAAAATCAGGCTCTTAGTTTACCTGCTAGATATTCTATGACAGCCGCCATGTAGACTGGTGCTCCCATACCTATCCGGTACTTGAATGTTCCTTTCTTTAAGTAGCGCATCATCCTCCCCACTGGGAAAATAACACCTGCCCTGGTGGAGCGTGACATCTTGGACATTTTCTTTTTCCCACTTCGGCCCGACATCTTGCTGCTGTATACCTTTCAACTTGCTGACAGACTGTTCTTATTCACGTACACCAACCCAAAAGCTGCAAGAGAAAAAAAGACAGGACTGATGGTGGGTATAGTCGAAAGAGTCATAGAAGATCTGTAGAACAAAATCAGAATAGATTTCCTTGTGCATGGAGAAGGAAAAATCCAACATAACAGAGCCATTGATCTGGCCTGGATGAATATAAATATTAAAGCAGAAGCATGAGTTATCAAATAGCAGACAATTTGAGCATTTACAATAGTATAATCTATGTTATTCTGAAAATATAATATGATATAAACAGCTCAGGAAGAGCAGTTTGGGGAATTTAAAAAAAGTGCATGTTAACTGAATATCATAATATCTAAACAAGGGTCTTGGTATTCAAGGGATCTGTAAGTTTGTTTGTCTGTTGAATATAGTAGGTGATGCTTCTGCTATTGAAAGATTCTTTTCCTGCTAAACTTGAGAATTGTTTTACAAAGTCATGGGAATCTTTTCAGCAAAGCATAGTGAGAGTGAGGCATTTGACTCTCACCATTACTTTAAAAATGTATATTGAATTCTCCCTAATAAGATAAATAAAAAATATACAATTGATATTTGAAGAACTCTGAGGTTGCAACGTTAAACAGTAAAAATTTTAAGAAATGTCAGAAGCCAGTTTGCAGTGTAACCTTAATGTGGCTGCCTTACATACATGCATTCTTACACAGTCTTTCATGACATAAACGCATCTTTTACCCCATGGGGCCCCTGCTCACTCAATGTGCAAAAAAGATAGTACTCAATGGCTGCATCTCTGTGAAATGCTGACAGTGCAGCTGCTACTGTGCAGTCATTTAGTACTTGTATAAATGAATACTAAATGACTACACAGTAACCCGATTAACTGCAGTAGCACCTCCAAACAGCTTTACTGTGACGCTGACTGCACAGCAGCCCAAGACTACTGTGCAGTAGTGTTGTGTCACGGTTTCTGCCACACAATGCTATAGCACAGTAGTCTCGGGCTACTGCGCAGTCAGCGTCTCATGTAGACATGGCCAATGAGTAGTAATTCAAAATTTTCTATCCCTATCAGTATGTACTCACATGCCTTAATTCTTGCACAACAGCCAAAACTTACATCGAATAAGAATTTACTTTTCATGGGCTTTTAATGACACTCATCACTGTTGCAGTAATAAATCTATTTTCAAAACCTCCTACTTGTTAGATGATGAAATAACATCATAGCCATTTTACAGGTGGCTAGCTGTGGCACAGAGAGATTGAGGCCTTTATTGTTTAAAGCATTCAGCAACTTTGCCTGATCCACCACTAAACCTAGAAGGATCTAGATAATTCTCTAGGGCACATCTACACGTGCAATTAATGTGACTTAATTTATTGTGCTGCAATTTGCACCAGAGTAAACTAATCTAGGCACAACGTCTAAACGTAAGCCCAATGACAGAAGCAAACTGAGCCAAAGTGGAGCAATTTAGGCTTGGCAGCAGGCAGGAACCTAATTGTGGGGCATGTGTAGATGGTGATGCTTTACTGCAGAGCAAATTAGTCTATTCCATAGAAAAGTGCACATGTAGATGTACCCCCTAGAGATGTATAAAGCTTTCCTCAATTCTACATGGGAGAGTGAAGGTCACCTGCAAGAGACTCTATTTTTACCTGTATGTTTTGCAAATGGAGTATATATAGTAGGTTCAGCTTCAGATAAGAGAAAGCAGGGGACCTATCTGGGCCAACTCACCCCTCCCCCCACCTTATTCTGCTGCTGCTGCTTTATAAATGGAACTCGAAGACAAATATATAATAGTGTTCAGAACCATGTTATGTCTTTCTTCATATCTTGCTGATGCTGCTAAGCAGTTACAGGGCTCAGCCACCATTGATCTGGGAGAAGGACCTTAATCTCTATCAAAATGTTTTCTGCAAAAAGACCCAATATAGGCTAGGCATATGAACAAAGAAAATAAATCTATTTCCTCCCATATTTCTTCCTATTTTCTTGAGGACAATAAAATGGTATTCAAGGAAGTACTCCAGGACACTGAGGTCAGTCACTTCACTTTAAACAATATAACTGGACTTGAAAAAGGGCACTTTGTCCCTGAAAGCTTATCTAGAATTTCTCCCAAGTTTAAAGTTGGCTATCTAAAAGATATCACAAAAAAAATCTTTAACTACAAATATGTTTCTGATACTAGTCAAATAAATGTTAGATTTTACCTATGTAAAGATAGGTACCCATGCCAGTGACCTAATACTGAACTCAGTATTATGCCATAGTAAGTCCAGAGTCAATCCACTGAAGGAAATAAAGAATTTGGCTGCAGCAGTGGCTGTTTCTGTTAATGAAGATGCAAGCACAGAATTCATCTAACACAGCATTTGAACAAGAAATAAAGGAAGAAGATTATTATGACAAGAAAGGGGGCATCATAGGAAACTATGCTATGGCTACAGATTATACCATTCTTTACTTGAAGGTTCAAGAGATCTTTTCCAATACTATGTGTTTTACTTCTTCGAGGTCCTTCATTTTCATGACGAATACTGCTGGAGAGGGTTTGAAGTACTGCCCTCAAAGGCAGTAGGAGCTCAGTTTATTGCTTCAACTGTCCTTGTAACCTTGCCAAGTTTCTGACTGAAGGACAAATTCTAATTGGTAGTAACAACACATGATCACATATTATATAATCTATTATGCTACTCTCAGGCCTGTGATGGGGATTTAACTGCCATCTAAAACAGCCCTCGACATCATTCAACTACAAAGATACAGTCAAAATTAATTTGAGGAAAACATCAAAATCCATGCCTGATTTTTTTCCTGTTCATTTCCTGTACTGAATAGAAAAAGGTTCAATTCAAATTCTAATTGAGAAGTTCAAAAAAAAATGTTTCTCTGTAACAGCCATAAGGAAATTCAACAGTGAGTTTTTAATGACAATCTAAATTGAATTTTGGCTACACTTCTGGTACACCTAAAAAATAAGAAGGTTAGACGGGTTGTGTTGGTGTAAAATAGCACAATGTGTCCTTATCCACAATGCAGATGATTTTCCTTTCTTCATTAATCATATAACATAAGTAAAACTAAGCTTAGGAGAGAATAACATATACTGTAGTAATAAAGGACACCCTAAAAAATAAAGTTTCACGTCACCCCATTACGAGTTCCAAAAGAATTTCCAATTTTTAAATTAAGGGCTGTCTTTAACAATTTAATAAATTGCGAGACCAGAGAAAAAGTTCTTTAAAAGAGCATCTTCACTATAAAAGAGTTAATCAATTTGCTGTATCATAATAAAAAAAAAAATCAATTTCTGTTGTTGGGTTTGTTAAAAGTCAGGGCTTGTTTTAAACAGTTTGTTATGATGAAGTTGTACTGTATATTTTTGTTAAGTTTCTTAGATAAGTTGTAAAAGTAAAAGCAGCCTTGTCAGAGAAGACTGTAAAACAATGTGAAAAGAAAGCAGGCTGGAAGTAAGCAACATGCCAGATGATTAAGGAATGTGGAAAGAAATCCCCTTTTCCAAAAACTAATTTTCACTGTAAATCTCAGCTAATTGACATCCTCCAGGGCTATGGAAGAATTGATTCAGTCCAGTTTGCAAAGTTTCAATAAAGCAAAAGAATTTAAATAGACCTATCAAAGAATGTTTCTTAGAGTAAACCATGTCTAAATAGAGCATGGACTGAGATGACTGGAGAACTCAGCAAGTCTGTTGAGAAGACCTGCTGCAATCTGCACGATTAGCTCAGTCTCCCTTATGAGTCTAGCTGGCTGGTACAGGTGAGAATCTATACTGAACTCCTGCAAGTAGACAGAAGAACACTGAGATAAGTCTATATTCTTGTGCTTTAGGGGTGTACAGCAGTGATTTTCAACTGGGGTGTCATGAGATCCTTTTAAAGGTGCTGCCAGGTACAATGCAATATTAGCAATATTAGGTGTGCAAGCACCTATGCATAATTCACACAAACCAAGAGTTTCAAATTGGAATCTATAGTGTCAAAACCATTCTAACTTGTTGGCATCTTTCTGAGCTCTTTGCAACAGAAGATTTTCTCTATTATTTTTTTGTAGTAAAAAAATAAGTGGCAGCTAAGAGGTGGCATTTCCAACTTCTGAGTGAAGGCTGTAGCACAGCAAGTTGCTTGTATATGTTCAGACAATCCGTTCAGGACTGGTTAGCTGAGCTGGAGATTACTCACTGATTTCACTCTTTCTAATAATTCCTGGATCATTTATCTGTGTCTGCTTTAATGATACCAGACAGGTGGGTGGTAACTCTCTTTGGAGAGATCTTCTGTTCCTGTGCATCTGGTGGATTTTATGATGCATCTGTTACCTGAATAACAGGTGTGCAGGTAGGCTGCATTCTGGTAAAAGAGGCAAGAGATAGGTCTACAGTCTGCCTTTTAGGCTGCTTGCAAACGTTAAAAAACAAAACAAAAAATGCAGCATCTGTAAAGATTGTGCGCTTCAGTGGGGCTTTTAACTAAATCTGGTTCAATCAGCTATTGGATAAAAGCCACCCAAACCCCACTAAAGTGCCTGATCTATGTCAGGTGAGCTAGGCTGAAGTAATGCTGCCTCTTCTGGGTGTGTGCAGGGCTTGGCGTGGGAATGTGCAGTGTATAAAGTGTAAAAGGGGGGGGGGGAGTTACATCTGCAAGCAGCCTTAGGGGTTTTTTACATGTGCTCCAGGGACGGCAGGAGGACACACTTTAATATAAGTGACTCTGAGAGCCACTCTAATTAAAGCATTGCAGCATCTCATGTATCAGTGTCCGTGCACTTCGAAATGGTAGCAGGGGTGCTTTAACTAAAGCTTGTTCAACAAACTTTAGTTAAAGCATCCTTGCCACCATTCTGAAGTGCGGGGATGTTGATACATGAGAGGGGGAGGCTTGCTGGAGTGTACTAATTAGCACACTGCAGCAGACTCAATTAATTCTGTTCTGACACTGTAATTACAGCGCATCAGAGCAGACTCCTGGCATGTCTACAGGCAACCCTTTATGTCTAAACCAGGGGTTGGCAATCCCCGGCACATGTGCCGAGAATGGCACGCAAGGCCATTTTCCTCGGCATGCACTGGGGCCGGGAGGCAGCAATTGTTTGCAGCCTCACAGCTGCAGCTCTGGGTAGCTGCTGCCAGCCAGGAGCCCAGGCTGCTCCCAGCAGGCAGCTAGGTTGCAAGCCCTGCTGGGAGCAGCCAAAGCTCCATTGCTATTAGCAGCTAACCAGAGCCTAGGCCAACTGCAGCTGGGAGGCTACAAACACCTACTGCCTCCCTGCCCCCAGCCCGGTCTGAATGGGTGCAGTGCCGGCACCTGCTGCCTTCCCAGACCCCAGGGCCAGAAGCCAGCCAGGGCCGGGAGGCAGCAGCTGTTTGTAGCCTCCTGGATGCAGCTGGCCCAGGCTCTAGGTAGCTGTTGACAGCCATGGAGCTGGGCTGCTCCCAGCAGGCGCTGGGAGGATGGAAGCCCTGCTGCAAGCAGCCTGGGCTCCATGGCTATCACCAGCTACCCAGAACCTGGGCCAGCTGCATCCAGGAGGCTACAAACAGCTGCTGCCTCCCGGCCCTGGCTGGCTTCTGGCCCTGGGGGCTGGGGAGGCAGCAGATACCAGCAATGCTCCCCTAGCCACCGCTTCTGCAGAGCAGCATTGGAACCCAGCATGCCAGGGCACAGCGGGGGGTGCGGAAAGCTGCCTGCCGCTCCGAGGAGCTCCCTGCTGCTCTGGCAATACTTCCCCTGCACGCAGGGGCAGCAACGAGGGGCACAACCCTGTGTGCTGCCCACACTGCTCCCATGCGCACACGGGAAGTGTGACCCAGGCAGTGCCAAGCTTGCAGCAGCAGGCAACTTCCTTGTGTGGCCACTTTGTACGCGGCCGCTCTGGGTCGTGCACACTGCACTCAAGAGGGCCCAGGAGAGGGCAGCAGGGCCAGGAGCAGAGTGCGTGTGACCCAGAGTGGCAGCACACAGAGGGCCACACAAGGAAGCTACCTGCTACTGCAAGCTCCATGCTACCCAGGTCACACTTCCCCGTGTGCATGGGAGCAGTGTGGGCAGCATGCAGGGTTGTGCCTCTCGCTGCAGCCCCCGCTTGCAGGGGAAGTGTGGCCACGGGAGCTCGGAGTGGCAGGCAGCTTTCTGCGCCCCCACTGCGCCAGGCTCCAATGCTGCTCTGCAGAAGTGGTAGCAAGGGCAGCACAGCGGGGAGCATCACTGGTATCTGCTGCCTCCCCAGAGCCTGGGGCCAGGTCTGGGAAGCAGCTGGAGCCAGGGCGGAGAGGCAGGCGATGGTTTCAGGTAGCGCCGGCTGATACCCACAGAGCCTGGGCTGGGGGGCAGGGGCTTTGGCTGGGGGGCACGGGGCACAAACAGGGCATCCTGCCATGTACCCCCTGCCCTTGATTTGTTTTTCTGGCATGCCGGCACTCCAGCACCTTCTAAGGTAGGCATTGCGGGTTTTTTCGGCACTGGCCAAAAAACGTTGCCTACCCCTGGTCTAAACCAATAAATTTACAACAGGGGTTTTCAACCTTTTTGGGTAAGTGTACCCATGGCAGCCAGTCGAGATGGCAGGAGTCCCCTGACAGCCAGATGAGCGGGTGGGGGCAGCAGCTGGGGGGTGTCCCCTCCAGCTGCTGACTGGGAAGGAGGAGGGGTCCCCTGTGGCTGCCCCATGGTGGCAGAAGTGCCCTGCTGCCAAGTACCCTCTGAGGCCATCCCAAGTACCTCCAGTGGTACACATACCCTTGGTTGAAAACCACTCGTTTACAACCTTTCTAGACTCAAGGCACCCTTCCCTAACTTTTCTGAATTTAGCAGTACCCTATTCCAAAACTGCTTACAAATATGACTGGAAATACATTTTTATAAACAAGCAGGAAAAATGCTTGGTTAATGATATAATAATAATAAATAAATAAATATAACATTATATATAATATATAATAAATGAGACACTTGAGCCTGGTGGTTCTTGTAAATATCTTGCATTTCTTAATCACAACAAATGACACAACTCAAATGAGTGGATTCTCAGTGCCGACAAGTGTGAAATGGTGGTGCGATGTCAGACTATGCAAGAACTATGAGCTTAGCTAACAAGTCCCTTACTTTTTGACTATCAGCCATTGTCTAGGGGAGAAATAGAAAAGGCACTGAAATAGATGCAAACAGAAAAGCTTGAAGTTTTGATAATGTATCACCAGAACTACTGTAACATTTTGGGAAAGCAGTCAATACCAGCTGCCCTCCCTAATGTCTGGTCACGCAGGGGATCCTGGAGAACTGCAGCCTGTAGAGCTAAGGTACGATCAAGGAACTTCCCAACCAAGCTGAAGCACTTCCGGTGAAGCGCTCGCCCACCGCTCCCCCGGGGCAGCAGCGCGGCCCGGCCGCGGGCTCGGTTTGGCGCCGACGCGGCGAGGACGACACAATGGCTGCGGGCCAAGGCGGTTAAGCGAGACCGAGGTGCCCCGGGGGTGGCAGGGCAAAATGGCGTCACATCTCCGCTCCGGCGCGAGGGGCCGGGATGGAGGCGCGGGGGGAGGGGCGGAAACACGTCTGTGGACACCACAAAGCGGCGGCGGGTCCCGCGCCCCTTCACCAGTGCTCGCCGTCGCCCGGTCGGACCCGCCGTCTCTTTCAAACCCGCCCCGCCCCGCCATCAACTGCCACCGCACGACCCCGCCCCTCGGCCCCAGCCGTGTGAGCTCATTGGCCCGTCAGAGCACGCGCCGCGTCCAGACGCGCCACTGGGCGGCGGACTAAGGACAGGCGGTGGCGGCGTGCGGGCGCTGATTGGCCGAGCGGAGGGTTAGAACCTCTCGCGTGCGCTAGGCCCGCAGCCTTCGGGGGGGAGGGGCGC